CGCTGATTTTTGTTGTTTGACTTCTGAATTAGTACATATGTAAGTTAACAACATATTCATTCATGCTACTTAACTACACCTCTCTTTACCACAATCTGATGTGGTAAAAGCATCAAACAAGTCCTCTGTAACATGGTATTAAACTTAAGGATTAGGATATTCTCTTTCCTGTTACACTGTACTGAACTGGAAGATATAATGTAGCACAAATAAGAAGCATGAAGTTATCGACCTACCCTGCTATGTCAGTTCTATTTGTGGTAGTGGCACATTAGGCACAAAAGGTAATTTAAGTTTCTAGAGAGGTAGTTATATGCATAATACTAGACACACACTACTATTTTTACAGCCTTTATAAATCCTGAAGAATTTTTTTTTTTTTTTTTGATTTAGTAAGACAATGCACTGGCCCACCGAGTTACTGCCATTCATATACAGCTCAAAAGACATATATACAAGTTTCACATTCCACTGGCGTTAAAGGATAGAGGGATCTGAAAGTTAGGTGTGCTTACAGCTATGTTTCGACCACCACATACTGATTCAATTTTAACTAAGTACAATAAAATAAAAGTCTAGACATATGGACGTGGTATAATATTTATTAAGAAATTTCAGGCAGTGTTGCAACAAACAAAGGTTAGAAATATTCTAGCATGGCATTGCTCCATCAGAATGCTAAGTATCAGTCATGCTAGGTAAGACTAACAAACTTTTACAGATGCAGTTTCCTAATGTTTCAGTCATTTGGAGAATAAGACTAAAAATAAATATGCTATCCTTTTATATTTTTGTGTATATGTAACATTTTAATTTGATTTCCATCAGTATGCTCCATTTTTTAAATTAAATATACCACCATAGTAATGATAGATGAAATGTAAACTTTTGAAGGTAGCAAAACACATTCAGATTCCTTAGCTTTCAGATTTAAAAAAAAAAAAAAAAATCTTGGTCAAATCTACTGTATATGAAAATTTAAGTTTTAACAAACACTAATTTTATAGAATAACTATATTTTAAAGAAAACATACAAGAACTGCTCCTTTTTAAGGTGCAAAAATATTTTTTGCATAAATATTCCTAATTCTAATTTGGTATGCTCTTCTACTAATCACACATGAACTTGCCAAACAGTTCAGAATTTATTTTCATAACAAAAAAAATTCTTGAACTTCGTCATACCAAACTATTTAAAATAAATTTTGACTTAGACATCTTTTAGCAGGATGGTACAAGAAGCAACTCACCATTGCTGTAATATAGTAAAATTAAACAGCTCACTTCAAAATACATGACCCCTTTCCAAATGATTTAACATTTATAACTCAACTTCGAATTTAAAATGATTATGCAAAACAGATATACCATTAATATCATATATAAAACTAGACAGCATGACTTCATGAATCTTTAAAGGTTAACAGCCAAAATAATTTCAGAGATTATTCATGCTCCAATATCAAATGCAATACAAAGTCAGAGATCCAGACACTGTCAGATTTATGATGATTAGAGATTTTAAACCATCAGTTTAAATTTAGTAAAATGTCATGCAGAAATTACTAAAATAAATCTTTATTAACTTAAAAAAGAGGTATTTTGTGCAAAGAAAGATATTGCCACCATGTGAAAAACAACAAATTGACTCGAAACTGAAATGGCGATATTTTCTGTATTAAAAAGTTTACTCTTGATATTCGCCTTTCCATTAACTGATTGATGACTGAGGTATTGTCATCACAATGCAAGACTTCATTTATATCATTTAGTATTTCTTCTGATAGTTTATTAATTCAATTTTTTTTTGGTTTGTTGTGATACACAAAAATTTTCTGATTTGCAGTTCTCATCATCATCAAGAAATATGCTAACTGGCTATAAATTATGCAAACCATTTAAAGAAATATCTGCAGAAATTTCTTCTCATCCTGCAATGTAATACTCATCAGGTTTTATATTAAAATATTTCTAGAATTTTTGGACGGTCTTATTTCTGCATCGGTTTTTAAGAAGCTACTTATATCTTCATTCCAGAGCATTTTAAGTTAGGATATCCCTCGGCTGGTTTATGGGTGTGTAAGTTTCGAGGAAAGAGTAAAACAGAGATATTATTATTTACTAGAATTCCACCTATAATAAGGTTAATAACAGATGAAACAAATTAAGAGACTGCTTCAAATCAGAAACTTCAGGGAAGAGGACAATTTGCTATGTTAACTGAACTTAGATTCCTTAGAATCTAATTTCTTCTCCTTCCCCAGCTGTTATACCAACAAAAGAAAACTAGTATAAGCAACAAACATCCTACTCAAATAAATATGTCTTGGAGTTTATTGTTTAGGTCAGATAGAAATTAGGTCACTCATAATGTCAATATACCTGGATTAATGTATTGTCACTGGCCACAATGTGCTGTCATGGCAAGCAAATGTTTGAAAACGACATCTTGGTTAGCAGGAGAAAAATCGCTTTTATGGCACAAGCACTTTCACTGAGTATTATATTGCCCACTTTTAGACTTTCTGTAAGAGTCTAATTTTTTCCTCCTCTTTTTTATTTTTATTTTTTTTTTTTTTTTTCTTTGGCTACTGGTCTGGAGATTTCAAACTTTGTACTACACCCTATAGGAAAACGTTAGGAAATACACATATTCTTTTCTTGGGATTTATTTTTTTAATTCAGAAAGATACTACCAAACATTAGAAAATTTACAAAAAAATTATAAAATGATCTAGTTTATAGAGTAATCTGATAAAATTTTTGATGATAAATTAATTCACAAAATGATACATGACATACAAACACACTTTTCTTATAATTTTTATCTCACTTTCCTTCTTATTTTATTAGAAATGCCTTAGAAAAATAGAAATCTGTGCTAAAATATTATTATTAAATAATGGGAAGTAATAAATTACATACTAATTATTATTAGAAAAAAGGGGGGCCCAGAATTTATATGACGCACAAATTTGTTGTTTATACATAGAGCAAATCTTCCACTAATGAAAAGATGCTTTTAGATTCTTTTTTTCTTTTACAGAAAAATAGTTGCATATATTATATGTTTGCATAATTAATTGAATATTGCATGCACAGTAAATTTTTTCTAAAATTAGAAGCGCTTTTACAGCAATTTAAACTTATACAGTCTAATATCAAAGTATACAGTCTAGTATACAGTCTAATATCAAAAAAACGATACTGTTCTCTGAAATTGCCTCATATTATTAAACATGCTTCATAAATAAATAAATTCATTCTAATTCACAGTGATACAAATGGCATTATAATATAGCTATAAACCATATTAAAATAAATTATAGGGAAATTTTCAATTGCTTTCTATCTCCATACACATTTTTTCTATATACAATAGGCACTTATTTAACTGTCCAAAATATTGCATAGTTTACAGCAATGAATCACTTAATGTACCATATTATGCAATATTTAGGAATACAATATACACTTATATAATACATGATATGTTATATGGATATACTAACGTATGAAGTCAATTATTTAGGAACTGGAAGAAAATCAAATGTGATAAGGAAAGCTTTGAGAAAATAAATTATTCACAGTGTCAGGTGTAAAACACTAATATTTTGGCAGTTAAGAGAAAATTTCTCTATCAGTCATGCGAGAATTATGCATATCTCTTAAGATGTAAAATACATACTTATGCTCAGCTGTCAAAGCAACTGCTTTATATTTGAAAAAAAAAAAAAAATACTTAAATAATTTTTATATGACATTTGTATGCAGTCAATATCAGGAAAAAAAAAAAAACTATTTTATGGTTCTATTTGCATCCCTATCTACTAAAAGAATGTTCAATAAATTTTATTAATGTCGTAATGCACATTATTCATTCAAAAGCAGATGTTTAACACAAGTTATTAAATCTCTATGAATAACTGGATATATCAGAATTTATATGATGCACAAATTTGTCGTTTATGCATAGAGCAAGTCTTCCACTAATAAAAAGATGCTTTTAAATTTTTTTCTTTTACAGAAAAATAGTTGCATATATTATATGTTTGCATAATTAATTGCAGCATTTATTAAATACTGCTGAAGTAATCCAACTGTTTTACCTTAATATCTCAGAGTTACTAATGGCTACAGATCTAAAAAAATATTTTTAGGTTGATATACAACTTCTCTATATATTTATATTTCTCAATGAGAAAAACTTATAAATAAAAATTTTCAAGCATTCTTTCAGCAACTCAGTTGTTTATATATGATTTTCACATATGGTGCAAATTATTTACAAACAGTGCATAAATCTGCAACATGACACAAAATAGAATTCATCTATTTACATACTGCTGCTATAATTTAGTTCAAGGATATTAAAACAATAAAATGACAGCTAAAGTACTAATGGAGAAATAAACAGAAAAAGTAAGGTTTTATCTCTTCAAAATAGAAATTTGTAGTTTATCTGAATAAATAAGAAAGCTTCAAAGGGAAGCATTAAAAGTGTATGGCAAAACCTCTCTTCAAATTTAGAAACAAAATTTTGTTAGTCTTCCAACATGATGCAAACATCCAAAAATCAAAATTTAACTCATGACACATAATGCAAAGCCAAAAATTACAGTGTCAAGCAGTTTGAACCTCTCAAGATTTCTGGTACTCTAACATTTGCAGTTAGTGAAATATCTATATCATATATACAGGTATTTCAACTTATGTATATGATATTCTATAACGGATAAATTTTTAGGACAGGCTTAACAGGCTGACTGAGTGGATAAATCTGCAAAATACTGGTAGCTCACATTTTTTTCAAAATTAAAAGCTGCTTAACATTTTTAGTTTGAATAGGACAGGACAAAGATTTTGCTGTACTCCTTATGTCTGAAGTGAATATAAGATAATTTCCATTGGATAATCCTTCAAAAAGGGATCCTTTAGCGAAGACAATTGGGTATCTTTTGCCATAATCTAGCAATCCAATCAAACTTACTGACACAGATTGGCCAAAATTAGTATATATTTTTTAAAGATATCCTTACACAGAATGATAACAGCAATAAGTATTTATATAAGTTAACTTAGATCAAATTTAAATACAATATATAAACAATATTTATCTTCAAGTACAAAAAGGTATCACATGACTACAAATTATAATAACCATTGCATATTTTTTGGGAATAACACAGACTGGCACTTTGATGTATTTAAAATAATGTACTCACATACATTTATGACAAAAACACTATTAATTCTTTGATAATATTCATTTAATTTTTTCTGAAGAGTTAAACAGTTTAGGAACTGTAATTTGTATTAAAAATAATAATATAAAATAAACTGTCATAGGGATAAAAAACAATATCTAAATTTTTTAGAGCCATAACAATCAGAATGTACAAAGAATGAGAGAAATAAAAATATGTAATATATTAGAAGAGACTTTTCATACTGAACAGACATTACAATTTACAAGCAGAGATGAAAATAAGAAATGCCATAGAGTTAGGAATTCTTAGGAGAAGCAAAATCAAAGATGATATTTTAAGGCAACAGATGATTGATTCTTAAACATAAAATACTAATCTAAATTTTAGTAGAAATACAACTGAGAAAACAGAATCTCATCTTAACAAGAATATGAGATTGGTAAGTTTTTAACATTAGTAATGAATCTTGTAAAAATAAACCCACTATATTTATAACGTTTGTTTCAGCTATGTTCTAAACATACAGAACACTGAAATCTAACAAAGTACAATAGTTCTTAGCATTACTTTATACATTTCATCTCATGGAATATGTTTTGCAAGTGATACAAACACTTATGCAATTTTTTCATTTGGCAGCAGTTTAACATTAAGCTCCTCTAAATAACATTTCCCAAAATTACAACAATAACACCTTTAAACACTCTACCTTTTTGCACATGGTTTGAAAGATCGATTATTTTCTGTGATGCCACGACGCAATTGCTCAGCACGCAGAAAAGCTGCATAGTCATCTTCCTCTGCTGATTGTTGACGGTAGTAATCAGTTTGGTAAGAATACCACCCGCCTTCGGATTCAGCCACTTTAGCATCTGGGGGAGAAATAAAAAAATTATAATGATCTATTATAAAATTATGCTATCACATATACCAAAATTTTAGAACAGTTTAATGCTTTTTTTTAGTTGGGAGATATCTGCAGCCAAACTTTTTATTTCAATTTTTCTGAAGTATTATACAATTTCAAGTTGCTGACAGCACAAGAACATCATTACAAGCATGTACACACACATATATGTAAATGTGTGTGTGAAATAAACTGGATATTGATAGTGTAGCTGATAATCATGGCAGCCAAATCAAGAACTTGGTGCAATCATGGCAGCTTTAACACTTTGCATTTTTTGAAAAATTATTCTTTTCTAGTACACAAACTTTTTGATGAAGACACAGATATACTGGCTCTAAGGATGCGTGTTTTTAATGAACTTTTACATATTTAATATCTAAAGAAACTGCATTGAAAGCAACAGAAACAGATAAGGAAAAACATAAATGACGATCTCAATGAGACTGACTGTTTGAGTATTGTAAACAATTCATGAGTAACAATTGACATTCAATTGAGTAACAATTGTAAAATTTAGAATTATTATTGTGACTCAAGCTTTATGTGAGAATCATTCATTTTGAAATGAAGCAGTCTAGAACAACTTATTATAAGCAGTCACTATTTTTAAGATGGAAAGGTGAAAACAAATTAAAATTGAAAGTTAAGGAACTTATGCAAGTTAGTTATGGTCTGCAAGTTAAAGTCAGAGTTTTTATTTACAAATTTTTTCTCACATATATGCGATATATGAGACATGGTGGAAATGTGTAGAGGTATATAACATACGAAAGACATAAAATTACAGACTGAAATCATAACGGATGTTCACCAAACAATGCTTATATACATTCATTCCATTCACTTAACACAATTATTAGAGCAGTGGTTCTTAACCTTTTTTTGTCACTTCACCATTGCTAGAAAGTCACCCCTCCACCCCCTCCTTTCTAAAACTCAAAAAATATATATATAGATATTTAAATTTAGATTACTTTTTAATGGTTTTTACACGTTAAACAAACAAACAAACAAAAAAGTATACAAAATGTTAACAAATATCAAAACTTGAAAAACACTTTTTTATATTCATAAACTAAAACTGAATACTTAAGCAGTAAATAAAAGGCTGACTGGTTTGTCAATGCACAAAGAATAAAAAAAAAAAAACTGAGCTCACAGAGAGTAACACAGTGGGTGTACATATATATATTTACATACTTTTGATGTGGCTGATTGCAACCAAAAAGGGAACTGAGCTCACAGAGAGTAACACAGTGGGTGTACATATATATATTTACATTAATTGTGGCTGATTGCAACCAAACAGGGAGGTACACAACTATATGTTATAGCAGTTCTATATACAAAATTTCAACGTTCTGAGGCTACTCATTTTTGAGTTACATGAGATATATGTGAAGCAATTCATAATGACAGCAATGAAGCTGCACGCTCCGACGTTAATTTCCCCCTCACCCCCGCTAACTGTGATTGGACTTGATCCAAAAAAAAGGAGAAACATTATCACCTTGTATGACTCACTTCTTGCGTTATGCAATAAACACCAACGATTGTAAAATCGCTAGATTTTTTTTCTTCTAATACCTAATAAATATGTTATTTTGTGTTTGCTAATAAATGATCTTGTTCCTTACATCCGCACTTGGATTACACTTTATTAAGTAAGAACTATAATTCTGTTTATATTTCTGCTCGTCTCGATTTAGCGAAGTTGTAACAGTAAACAAAAATGAACTACAAATACCTTCAACAATATGTACATAAAAACTAAACTCAGTGGCGTAACAGCCCTAGTGCGCCAATATCTGCAGTGCCCCGAAATCTGCTTTCTTTGACCGTGGGCCCTGTTGTGCATAAGCATACGCCCTGAACAAGTGGTCAGCTTGTCGCAGGACCCCCAGTGTTTAGTCTCCAAGCGAACTTGATACTCATTTTATCAACCCAAAGGATGAAAGGCTGAGTTGACGATGCCCAGCCTGGGGTTCGAACCCCGGACCTGTGGTGGTGCTGCACGATGCGCTAGCCACTGCGCCTCAACATATGTACATACATCTAAAAAAAAAATCTCTTCTGAATTAATTTTAAATCCTTTTTGAAGTTTTGGAAAAACAGTCCTTTATTGATGCCAAGCAAAAACATTGTTAAATTGCATTTCATAGCAGTAAAAATCGGTATTTTCATTGAAATACGATACCCAAAAATTTTCACAAGTAGAATATTTCCTTTACTTCATACAAAGAACTAAAAATATTGGGTTCTAATGAAAATTTCCTGTAACTGCAAATATCATCTGCACAAACAGTTTGTATTACTGTCTTTAATCATATTTTGTCAAACGATTTTTAGCAATTGAAAGAAAGAGACTTGCTTTGGAATACTGTGTTGTGAAACTTGTAAAAAAGTATTGTTATCATTAACAGGTACAAGGTGTCTTAAATGGAACTATCATGCTACCAGATTAGAATTAATATTTACTTCCAGTTCTGTTACAAAAAGTCAGCTACAGAATGTCACAAAATCATGTGTACAGCTTTAGGTACTAATACTGTATCACTATCAAGGTTTGGTTCCGAAAGTTCAAAAACAGGGACTATGAAATTCAAGTAGAGCGCTCTGGCTGGCCTACTGATGCTGATGAGGCCTGCCTGTGAGAACTTGTGGAAGAAGATCACTATGCAACCACTCAAGAGCTTGCTAAGGAGTTAGACATTAGTGCAATGTCGTGCCGCATGAGCTGACTCTAGCAGACTAAGACAGACATGTTCAGGCCTGCATTGATCTGCTCAAATATCACTGCAAGGACAAAATTCTGAACCAGATCGTCACTTGTGATGAAAAGCAGATTTAGTTCAATAACACAGACCAAAAAGCAGGTTGGTCTGCAGCTGGAGAGCCCATCGTCGGCATCACAATGCTCAATTTGACTAACAAAAAGATCCTGCTTTGTATCTGGTAGGATTGCTTTGTGGATCTGGTGGATCCACAAAGAGTATCTGGAAAAAGGTAAAACCCTTGACAGTAAGATGCTAGTCCGTGTTGATGCTGCTATCAAGGAAAAATGTCGAATTGAGTTCTGACGCAAAAATCATGTTCCATTAAGATAATTAAAGACTACATGTGTCTGCTGGACTCCGTATGGACTTGAATGGGATCTTTAGCCACACCCACTATATAGCCCTAACATCGCTCCTTCACACTTCTACCTATTGATGCAAAAGCAAAGTTTAAAGTTGTAAAAGAACATTTAGCAGCAGTAGCAATAGAAGCTCCCTAAGGTTATGTACTGCGCAGACACAGAAGACAAAAGTTTTAAACTTAACCAATTTATTAACAATATATAAAAATAAAAACACAATGAATAAATTTAATCAATATCAGAAACTTAAAGAGTATAACATAATCATTATAAAAAAATTACACTTAATTCATCATCCATTAACCCCAAGGGTTTTTCCTTTAAAGAATGTTACACTATTAAAGTCACAGTAAATATTTTTACTTGCTCTCCAAATACTGGCATTCAATACGCGAAAAACATATCACTAAACAGAAATTACGCGGTTTTAATGAAATTCGCTACACTATCAGTAAGTACATGCTTCGTGGTCAAGAAGGCACCTGGAAAAATTAAATTAAATCCTTGAGAGCACTCAAACCGGCAAAACGCCGCTCACTCTGGTTACACACGAGATATCACAGCTTGGAAAATCATCGCCGCTAACTCTGGAAAAACAATTGTGTTGAAGATGCCGCCTTCATGAAAACACGATGCCGACCACGGCAGTCGCTCACATTGTAGCCTCTTTTGAGAATCCAGGAAAAGTCATCTTGTAGACTGGAACCACGGCACTTATCACTGGATGGCACGCATCTCAATATCGTCTTCCAATGGGGCTGGAACAGCACACCATGGAGCAAAGAAACAGGAACCAGAAGGAATAAGCCAGAGCAACGCGAGATACTTATACCTGAAGTAGACATCTCACGGCAACCAATCAGCTATCGGCACGACTCGGCTTTCCAGATGACGTAACATCAAGTTTCGTTTTTGCATCTTAATTAGGCTGGAACAGTCCGTTCTTAATACCAACAGTGGCAGTGAAAAATGAAGTAGAAATAACTACTATATCCCCTTAAAATAAGGACTAAGCCTTATGTAAAAGTTAGAAATATTTCAAAGAGGAGAGATGATGCAGAAAAAGGGTTACAATACGTCATATTTTCCAATACCTATCTTCACACCTTAAGTTACATCTTGTTGGTGCTATCTTCCATTCTGCACAAAGCATCCAAAAAGAGGTTGATCTGTTTTCGCAGTCGTGGCCACCAAGTTTCTGGGCCGAAGGCTACCAAAACATAAGATCATATATTTGGGTGGGGGATTATTACTAAAGGTACTGCTTTCATTTTTTTTTTGTTGTTTTCTAAGTTTATTAAGAACATTTGTTGGAGGAAAACTTTTATTACAACCAGATACATGGATAAGCAATCTTTCTCTTGTGGCTATAAATATATAGTAATTTTTTAAAGATAAAGATAAAATTTATGAATAAAATTTATGAGATAATTAAAAGATAAAATTTATGAATAAGATAAAATTTATGCATAAATTTCCAACAATAAAAACAGAAGAATACTTATGCATTTAAAAAAGTAATTATAAGACTTTTTTTGACAAATATGTTTTATTGTTTACAAATTATCATTAGAAAACATAAGTATGAAATGAAAGTAAAATGTGAAGTTAATAATAGTTATTGAAAAAATAGCAATGATTTCAATCTATCAGGAATATATATTTTTGATAAACTACACACCTAAATCTGTGTAATTACCATTACAAAATAATCTTCTTCCACCAAAGTTCAAGTCAAATTTTGGAGTCAAATTTCCTTTGTTACCATCTAAAAATAAATCAAATTACAAAAATTAATTTAAAGATTTTTAAAATAATTAACAAACTGATTTCTAAAATGCAAGCATACAAATTAAGAAAAATGCAGTAAAAAATTAAAAAGCAAAAATTTTTATATATCAGTTTCTTAAGGCTATGCCTTTTTCATCTAAACACTTTACCACAAATCATTAGGCATATTAGGCCTAATTTATCTTCAAATTAATTACAGGAATCTCTCACTTAACAAAATTGACTAATTCTTGTAAAATCTAGTTTAGCATCATTACACTTTTTACAATTATTAAAATTTATTTTTACAACATTTTTAGTTATTAAAATACCACTAATTGATAAAAATATGCCAAACGCATTGTAATTCATGTCACTACTCATTAAAATCTCTTTTCTAAAGTCCTCGTCTGATGACTTTAAACAAATAAAAATGTTCAATATGATTTTCTGTGACCAGATGGCCCGATTTAATTTGAAAAAAAAAAAAAAAAAAAAAAAAAAAAAAAACTCTTTCATTACTTTACATAGCATGTCAATCATAATAAAATTAACTACTGCTGTACTATTATATCTTGAGCTCATCTAAGGCATTTAGTACAGAAACATGTAGACTGAATTTTTGATGCGCTCTTCTCTGAGTATTAGGTGTTTCAGTCTTCAGTGGCAATCAGGCTACACAATAGCAAAAGATGTACAAGTGAGGGGCAGGACAACATAGAAATTTAACCTAGTATTTCTGTGGATCACTTGCCATTACATACAACACTGACAGGACTTGGACATAACCAAAAGAAACTTAAACACTCCCTCTTTCCAATTGTAGATATTCCTTTCAAATACAATTTGACATTTTCAAGTTATAACACTTTGAAATCGGATGGAATCCTGCTTTTATCCAAATTATAAGGAAGGAAAATAAAACATAAAATAATTGCAAATTTTTAATTATACTAGAGAAATTTAACCTAGTATTTCAGATGTGCACAAATCTTTTGCTTTTATTTTTCTTCATATGTTTTCCCATAGCAATTCAGTACACTGTCAATGATACAATGAATTAGTATACTTCTTCCCAATCTAATCATATCAGGCTTTCTATTCTATTAACTAGTACCTATTGGCTAATAGCTACTTTATCTTTCTTCTTTATTTCTCCTAGAACTTGTGTTCTATTACAATAATGAAGTATTTAGCAATGTCACCCAGTTGGCAGCATCAAAAGTCCTAATAGGGATAATATGATATTATATGATGATTCTCTTGACCATTTAAAGCTGAAATTACCATTTTTTTTTCCTCCCCCAAATAGAAGTCATTTTTATATTTCAGAATAACTCCTGGATCATAATTTGAAAGATTTCTGTTTTCATTAAAAATACAATAATCATTTCTAGCAAAGAAATTATATGTTAACTTTTCATGCCAGATTTTGCCAAAGCAAGTATGAAGTATATCTATGAAGCAAGTGAAAACTGATAAATTTCTACTGAATGCTTCTGCAATTCTTTACATAGCATTAAAAATTTGAAGTTCTATAAAAAGTTCACTAAGGAAACCAGATTGAATGTTATCAGTGAGACTGAACTGTACTACGTGTTTAGCCAATCTTCTATATATAACCCTCTTGAAAATTTCACCCAAATTTAGGAGGAGATAGTAGCAAACTTCCGTTTTTAGGGGGGGGGGAATATTTTGAGACATCTAAGATCTCATTAAAATTCACAAAGCAATTTTTAGGGAAGCATTTAATATTCAGTTTGTGATCATATCAAATCCTGGTCCATTTCTGAATTTTAAGTACAGAACACATAGTGAAAGAAAAATATTTTTGGGGGGTATTTTTGGTTTAAATATACAAGTAATAAAAGTTAACTAAGTTATTTTTTAACAGAAGAAAACTAATAAAAAAGAATTGGGAAATGGAAATAAATATATGGCTGCATATAGAAATGAAAAGAAGAAAAGAATCTTTCATGCTTACTTTCCCGAGCATCGTATGCATCAGATTTGTTTTTAAATGTCACAAAGCCATACCTTTTCCTAAATAATAATAATAATAATAATTAAAATACACAGACAAACAAGCAAACAAAAAATTTGAAAACAAAGCAATTTGGATGACATTCTAAAAAGAAATAAATAAAAATTTTAATTGACATTCATAACAAAAACTTAATTATAATAACTCGAAATTACATGTGCCACAATTATATACTGTATGTATTCAGTTAAGATACTAAACATCTAATACTTTAAACGGAGTTCTGAAATACTATGAATTCTATATATATAATGCACAGTATTCAAAAACAATACGTTAAATTGGGTTTATGGTATATTTTTCTGATCTTTAAAATTGTAAATTTTGTAACTTGTGCTCCATTTACTTGGATTTAAATGATGAAAGTTGAAGCATATAAATGAATTTACTCAAAGTAACAGTAATGTCTGACAATACAAATTTCAGTCAAAGATCTAATTCCATAATACTTCAATAATTGATTTTTCTGCTAGCATGCATTTCATAGTTCATTCCTATTCCTGAATTCTTTTTGTTTATTTGCCTTCTCCCTGTGTGGAGCTGCAATGAATGAGAGTAGCACAGTTAAAATACAGTTCTTTGTAACTTAAATAAATATATAAGCAACATGTCCTCTAATGTACACTGCACACATACACAAAAAAAAGGGGGAACAGTTCTATATCTCAAGTTCTACTGGGCCAATTGCCGAAATTCAAATTGCATTTTTGATGCTTCGAGACATGAGAATAAAAAGTACAACTTAGGATATGTATTAGATTTATATATAGCATTGCTATAATATAGGTATTTTGACACAAAAATCAAACATTTTTCAAATGGCACGCAAACTTTTTTTTTAATATTTGTTTTTAATATCTAATAACAAACAGAGTAAACCACATAGTTATTCTCAGAGTTCTGTCATTTAGTAAAATTCAGGAAATACCTATGAGGATTCTGGGAATACTTAGGTTCCATGTAGTGGAACATAAGTATTCCAAGATGCTTATGTTCCACTACATGCTCCAAGATTCTTTCTGTTCTTTGTGTTTCAGTTTCCGACACACAATTATATTTATAGATTTAATTTTGCCAAGATATTTTATATATTAACTGAAAACAATGACCTCCTTTAAGGTGTTACAGCAGAAATCCTTATTGCAGTGAGTGGCAACATTCATTTTTGCTGCACAATATCGTTGTGTATGTGCTTGCCATAGTACAAGGATAAAAACTAGAACGTTTTTGCTGAGACTTCTCACCTTTTTTTTGCTTGTTTGTCACTGATGTCGGGTGTCGGCTCATGAGTGTGTGTTAATGTTTAGATACTTAACCTCTTGCAAGATATGTTAAATATGCTAAACAAAGTTGGTTTTAACTGTTAGCTAAAGTTCGTGATTCTTATACACTTCTAATGACCTTCTGATGGAGTCTAATGGTGATAAAACATACCATATTTGGTGACCTAAAGTAAGAACAGTGTGGGTGGACCATCCGTTGCAGTTATACCTGCTTTGAAAACTGGTTGTGATTTTCCCATGTATTTTGTATGGAAGACACTTCCCCAGTTATAAAATCTTGTGGTCCTGAACTTATCATAAACCTTTTTCTTTGAAGAATAGTTGTAATTTCATTGAAGAGGAAGTGACGAATGATGTATTCTGCAGTTTTACATACTGCTGGAGAAAGTTTTTGAGTCTCAATGAATTTTGTGATTTCACGGCAGTATTATATCAGTACAAATGATTCTCAAGAATACTTTAGTTCAGTTTTTATTAATTTGTGTATACGTTATATGGTATACGTTAGATAACCTTTTTAAATTATTGGTGTTTTGAATGCAGGTAGGATTAATTTATTTTTTCATATGATTGTTTTTTGGAATTTAGGAGTTTTTCAAATCAAAAAAGATTTTTAAATAACAATTTTATTGTTTTTTAAAGACTTTTAGAATCCCTTTAAAGTGTATTTTTTAATGAAAATATTTTTTACTGTGCATTATTGGCATTCACCAAGGTTGTTTTTTTCTTATTGATAATAATGTGTATAGCATATTTTTACAAGGTGAATATTTTACATTAAAAAAAAAAATATTCATGTATTTTTCATTCTCATGTCTATCCCTAATGGTTATACAGATGCATGACATACATTTTTTTATACCATGCTTTAGTATTGAAATTTTTCTTGTGTTGTAATTAGAATCATATATCTTTTCTAAATTTAATAGTCATGTTGTGTAATAAAAATTCTATCGATGATTTTCAGACTGAAAATATAGCAGTTACCCAAGTATCGCATGTGTCAGTAAAATTCCCACTTTTTTAGAAAGCAAGCCCTGCATCATACTTTGTTAGATTGGAATTACAATTTTCCCTTTCCAATATAACTTCGGATTTAACAAAATTTAACCCTGCTGCTATGGATACAGATAGACTTAATTCTGTTACCAATATCATTTTAACACTCTGAGCAGCATGGGTCTTCAAATCTATCATGAAGACCTGAATTTAAACAGCATTTCTTAGCTAAATTTGCATTACCTCTTATTTTAGTCTCTATTTTCATAAACTTACATTCATTAAGATGACATTTACATTATTAAAGAAAGAACGCAAGTAAAATATCTTAAATTATAAGCTAATAAGTACCAAATGACAAAAAATCTCCCAGTACTGGAAAATATGATATCTTAAAACAAAGACTGATTTACAATACGTTCTGAAAGCAAAAAATTGAAAATTCATACTCTGCTGCAATTTTGAGCTCGGTGACCAGCACCCTTCTCAGTTGTTGACTCTTCCCAATAAAACACAGCATATTTTGATTGCTCTTGTGAAGGTGATTTGAGTAAATTGGTATAATCACTGATAAGAATACTGAGCTCGCATCTCACTTGTATGCAAATACAGCGATTGCAACCCTTGTGCCAAATGAATCTGCTGCAACTTGTTTAGAAATTCAGGTAGTGCAACTGGCAAAGCAAGCTGGTGAATTAACAACTTCTGCCTTGGGATGTAATACTCACAGTACTAAGCGCAATTTTTGGCATTCATACTGATACAGTAGGTCATGCGAACACACTAATACTTTACCTTGAACTTTACCCCTCAGACTTACTAACTATTTACGTCTCGGCTTTTTTCTGATCATGGTTGATCTCTGGCATCGGCTCGTGTGCGTTTTAACATTTAGATTTAAATGTTAAATAAAGCTGGCTTTAATTGTTAACTGAAGTTTGTGAATCTTACTTTTCTAATAACCTTCTGATGGTAACAAAACTTTGCAATAATGTAAAAAGATAGTAAAGCAAACATTCAGTAACCACTATAATAAGAGTTTTGCTACTATTATACTTTGAAAGGATTAAAGCAATTTAGAAGCACATAACCTTTGGAAGTACAGAAAAAGACCACTGGTACTCTGCATAAATCATTTCCAAAGTTTTAAACTCTTAGCAATGAGCCATGAACTTTTTGATTGCTAATACAGTCAAAAGTCGTTAATTCGGACACCCATAATCCGGAATGATCTATAATCCGGACCACAAAGCTACAAAATTTCTGCGAATATGCGTTTACGCATGCGCGTTTAATGTATAACGGACGGTATAAGCTAAGCTAAAATTATCCAATTCAGTTAATGTTGCAGATACCGTTGTTCCTCTTCGAACTGGATCCGGCATATTATTTTTTGCAGACTGTTAGAGCAATTCTATAAAAGTAAGCTCGAACTTTCGATTATGTCAAATAGAATTTCCGATATATATTTACTAATATGTAAAGGATCTACAAAGCGAAAGTATGTTTCGAAGTCCATTAAACAGAAAGTGGAATTGCTGCAAACAATGGATAAAGGCATATCCTTTGATTATCTAATCATTCCGAAATATCTTTATCAATTTCACGCTGCTCTGCGGAGGGAGGGAAACGACGCGGCGCGCAATCAATTGGAAGTGATCTGTCAGCACTATCCTTATCTTCAGAGCAGATGTTTTTATTTTACTTGGATTATAATTCCTTACTAAATGTAGTATTTCATCTCGATGTACTCCGTCTTTGATATGATTTAAATCAAGTTCCTTGTCATTATAATTTGCTTCCAATAATGAAGAAAGTGACACAGAGGTTATTGAAAACGAAAAAATTCGATTGACAAATTAGTCGGTATTCTCGACACAGCACTTACAGGACTTGAACAGCAGAACTTTGTAACTAAACAAGAAATTATGTCTGTTTAATAGAATTAAAGAGAAAGTATTATTACATGAAACGAAGCAACTTAAACAACTTACATTGAAAAGAAATATTTAATAAAGTAAACAAATAAACATTAAGCTTTTTCTTTTTGTAAATTTTGATACCCTTTAGATCATAAATTGTTCTTTATTTCATAAATTACGGTTTCATATTTTTTAATTTTATAATTTCTGCATGCCATCTTACCAGATTTAAACTGATGATGATCCGGAAAAATCGATAATCCGGAATCGCCGAAGTCCCGATGAGTCCGGATTAACGACTTTTGACTGTACATTTCTGCAGTCGTGCAGAAGTGCTGAGACATGAGCTGTATGGTTTCTTCATCATGACTTTCAATAACAGACAGCAAGGCTGTTAAACAATATCTTTCAAAGTACATAAAAAATAAAATATGTAAAAACAAATATAAAATAACAAATGTGTGTAAAATTTATCACATATTCAATTTGGAATAAAACACATGCAAAACTAAAAAACCAGAACCACAATGACAAACTGTAAAAAATGGGGGGGGATATACCTAAACTAAAAATGTGTTATGAAATTTACATCTTTTCGATACATCAAGGGGTTGGTGCAACAAATTAAATTAATAAATAAAATGTTTTTGAATTGACAAAGACTCAAAAAAGAGTTTAAAAATATATTTAGAAAAACATTAAAAGTAATCTGTATCATAAGGCAACCACTACAAGGCTGAAGTAAACAGTGCAAAAAATTTCAAAATTACAGCATCAAAAACATTGACAAATTCAAAAGAATTGGAAAATAATAATAATAATAATAATAAATAATTTTATACAATTATTTGAGTAGATCAAGTCCAAAAACAAAAGTTGTAAAAATAATAATCCAATACTTGAAAATAAAATCATATGCAAAATTTTTAATCAATTTTGAAAGTATACAGGCCAGGTTAAAAAACAACATAAATCAGAAACAAGTAAGCTTAACAAAAAATAGTGAAGATTTCTGATAATACAATTTTGCCATTTTTTGCATTGTTTACTTCGCCTGTAAGGGTTGGACTGATAAAAACACAGATTACTTTTATTGTTTTTTAAAGCTATTTTTTAATTTTAAACTTTGTATCTTTGTTGGTTTAAAAATAACCTTTTTTATTTATTTACTTCTTTTGTTGCACCAAACGCCTTATAATGATGCAGTAAAAGATGTTAATTTCATATTTCATTTTTGGTTTTGGAAAATTTTGCCCCCCCCCCCCGATTTCTTGCGATTTGCCACTGTGCTTCTGGTTTTTTGGTTTTGGCATATGTTTTATTCAAAAATGAATAAGTAATGAATTTTAAATGTATTTTTTTAAATTTTATTTCACATTATTAACACCGCTGTTGTTGCTACTACTAGCATGCAACTGGATTAGCTTTTAAACTTTTTTTTTTTTTAGCAGTTTAAATTTTTATTATATAATATTTAATGTATAAAACAAATACTTTCAATGAAACTTTGATTTCAAGAGACTAGCAATGTAACATAAAAATCACAAAACTATACATGAAACATCACCTACAAATATAAAAATGGGGGGGGGGATGTATTTATAGCTTATCAAAGAAAAAGTCAATATTTACTTAACAGCTATAAACATTAACAAACTAGAGAACAGTATTAGACATAAAAGGAAGAAAATAAATTACAAATTTTATACACTGACCATATTAATTTTAACTTATGAGCAACATGTGATTTATACTGATACTCTTGCACCCTGAAGCTTTAAACTTTACAGAAATGCAATAATACCTAATAGCTATACTATAATTTTAAAAATCTGCAAAATTCAACCACTAACTGGCCTTATTCAGTACACATAATGCTTTTCAAAAGATAAAAGCAGTCGCAAGGATGAAAGTTTAACGTGTCCAAAAAATCAAAGAAAAATAAACTGTACATTTTTAAACATAAACTTTTTTAGAAAAAATCCCGTTGAAAAGGTGTTAAGCTCACTTTGTTAAATAAATTCGTATTTAATTGATTTATTGAAACATGAAATTCATTTTAAGTTCATAAAGACGATGTGAAAATGGAGTGTGTAGAGTGAAATCTCGCTTTCCTATAGCCCATTATGTCCCAAAATGACGCGATTTCGTAACAAAATGTAAAATAAAAAAAATTCGAATTCAAATTTCGAAAAAATCGCTTCGAGGTGCACTGGCTCTTGTCTAGATGCACCTATGTACCAAATTTCGTAGCCGTGGGTCTATTAGCTTACGCGCGCGCGAACGAAAGACACACACATAGACAGACTCTTTGTTTTATTATATGTGGAGATTTCATAAATCGAAAACATTTTCTTTTGGTAAAACAGATCAGATTAAGAAGCACTTGTGCATTACTCTTTAAGTTCTAAATAATATTAGATGAACTAGGATTCTTATCTTTTCAATTTTAATAAAAATGCATATTAAAACTTCAATTTTGTTCTGTTAGTAGAGCAAAATTAGAAAAAGGTTAAAATAGAAGATTTAATAAATACGTTTTATTATATAAAAAATCACAAAATTTACTCACTCCACATAACGGTTAGTTTTTGATCTGATGCAGGCATCCTCAATTGGTCCAAAACAACTAAATCTCGCCCTAAGTTCTGCAGTTGTATAGCCATGTGGAATATCTCCAACATACAATACACGCCTTTCTTCCTGCAAGAAAGTAAAAGCAAGAAACTTAATGCAAGATAGTAACTATTATGTTTAAATTTTACTTTATAAAAATGCAATAATGGAAGACAATACATATTAAAATTCATTAAGACATTCTTATAAACTTTAGTCAAATTTTAATTTAGTACTAGCAGGCAAGCCCATCAGATGCACGGGCTAAGGCCAAAACAAAGATATTTATAAGTTCTATGTACTGAAAATAAAATAAACTATTAATTTAATGTACTGTATAACAAAGTTGCTAGCTCTGACCAAAGCAAAATTTATGAGTTCTATATACACCTGAAAAGTGCTTAAAACATTTCAGTATGAATGAAATCAATTCATTTTTGGCAGGCACAACCAATTCGTAATTTTTTTTTTTTTGGTTGCCAAACAAAAACTTTGGACACTTATGGTTAATACATATACATATGATGTCACGATTTAATTTAATGTAATTATATTACATTAAATTCTTCACATTAACTCAATATAAAAAAGAATTAATGTGTCAGTTATCTGAACCCTCTGAGCGGCATGACCAGATAAAGCCGGTCACAAGATTTTTTTGTCACTTGATACATATTAGCTTATAACTTAAGATATTTTGCTTTCTCATTTTCTTTAATAATGTAAATGTAATCTTAATGAATGTAAGTTTATGAAAACAGAGGCTAAAATAAGTAATTATATAAATTTAGCTACAAAAAGCTGTGTAAATACAGGTCTTCATGACAAATCCGAAAGCCCGTGCTGCTCAGAAGGTTAATCTGAAACAAAAATGTTGCCAACAGTAGCTATTTATTTAAAATGTTGACATTAACAAAAACTTTCCATCATTTAACTTTCCAAAAATATCAGCTAAATATGCTAAAGAAGCCAACCATAATTCACTAAATAAATGTTTTTGCAATTCAAATTTTGAATCACAGAGGAAAATTTTTATTTCTGATTGAAGTTGAAAAAGATATTTTAAAACTTTGCCTCTGTATTACCACCTTGTTTCAGAATGTAACAAAAGCATTTCATGTTCATTGCCAATCTCTTGGCATAAAATCGTAAATATTCTTAAATTTTAAGCTCAGCTTTTAATAAAATTAAAAATTTTCACAGTTTGATTCAAACCAATTTTTATGTTTTGGGAGATTGTTTTGGCTTCTAAAGCTTCCAGATGAATGGAGCAGTGAGTAAATTTAGTTTCAGGTGTGACTTTCTTTATTAGAGAAATAATACTAGAGTGTTTTCCTGTTAAAGCCTGAGCTCCGTCACTGCATACAACAATGCACTTATTCCAAGGAATATCATTCTTAGATATAAAATAGTCGATTACTTTGAAAATTTCATTTGTAGTTGCTCTATCATTAAGAGATTCACAGAATAAATACTCTTCAGCAATTTGTTTATCTTCTTTGAAACATATGTAAACTAAACAAAGTTTGTTATATTAGTACTTTCACCCAAAATTTGCCATTTAATGAATTCATTGACTTACTGCATCATTTGATAACAGAATATTTTTAAGTTCATTAGCTGCTTTTTCATTGAATAATGTTAAGCAATATCTTTAGCTGCTGGTAATATAAGGTTTTCTCCAATAGTGTGAGCCTTTCCAGTCTCAGCGTACTAGGTAACTAGCATTCAAGACTTTTCACTTGAAATAACAAAACCTTTCATTACACATTTACCATTTTTGAACTCTGATAATATTTTCTTAAAATATTCTTTAAATTGACATTTACTCTTTAAATTGGCATGATTAGATTCAAGATGTCTTTTAAGAAATGATGGTTTCATTCTTTGATTGGATAACAGTTCACTGCAAACAACACATTAAGGTTGAAGGTCCATTTGATCTCCATTCCAAGTAAACCCAAATGATAAATAACTTTCATTACATTTTCTATAAACAATTTTTCTCTTCTTTTCAATATTCTTAGTGCTAGTAGATTGTTCTGGATCCATCACCTATGAATCACATACTTGCCAACCTATGACACTCAAAAATCAGGAGATTTTTTTAAGAAATCAGGAGATTTTTCACAATGTTAAAAAGACTTTTTAAATGATAAAAATATAGTTTTTAATAATGAATTAACTTGTGTCAACTTTTTGGTCTTTTGTTTCCGAAGAAAAATTTAATTTTTTGTTTTTTTCAAAACAACTCATGTTGTCCTCGTGTTTTTGTGTACGCACATGTTTGAGAACAACCGCCCTTCCACCATGCGAAATCGAAAAATCGCAACGACAGATGGTACACATCGCAAATTTATTACATTTCCTTGAGGAAATAATGGAAGGAAAGTCAACTGTGTACGATTTTTGAAACGTGCACGAGTATTTCACCTTTCTCGCAGACACAACAAAAGACGATAATTTCTAAAACTCTCTCCCAAAGGCACGTGCACTCACACAACTCAGGACAAGATGAACGAAATAACGAAAGAACATCGAAATAACGGCCCAACATCCAAAGAATTTTCTTTGCAACGGCCTTGAGCTTGCTTTGTGCTCATTGGCTAATATATGCCAGATGACACGCAGTGGAGCACGATGCCCATTGGAGAACTGGAGAACGACATTTCTGGATACGTATGCTGTCACTCACAAAGCAGAAATTCTCATCTGATTTGAAAGGTTTTGTTTTAGATATAATCTAGAGAAAATTCAGTTGCTTTCAGACATCCAAAATCACTTTTTTTTTTTTTTTTTTTTTTGTTCATATAACAAAGTATTAAGCCAAGTTCCATAAAAATCATGATAAATATTAAGAATAAGAAAAAGTTGGGAGAAATATATTGTAAATCGGGTTGGCGAGAGAGCGGTCGAATATCAAGAATCTCCTGTCTAAATCGGGAGAGTTGGCAACTCTGGAATAATCATTTTTCCACATCAGTTCTTGGTCAAGCCTAGCCATTTTTCCATTTTGAAAATCTATGTTTGTTTTATTATTTTTTCACAAATATTTAAATTTAAATGCACAATATATTAAGAATTTTTCAAAAACAAACGACGATATTCTCATATCACATAGAAAAGTAAGGCATACAAAACAACAAGAAGACAAAATACCTGCTGTTACAGACAGCATATTGATGTAAACAAAATCATTCTAATTGAAAATAGAGCAAAATGAGCCCGGAAATAGTGGCAACATAAAGCGCAGACATCAGGACAACTTTGGTAGACATAGTAGTAAATCAACCAGAGTGTTTTCCTGTTAACGCCTGTGCTCCGTCACTGCATACGACAATGCACTTATTCCAAGGAATATCATTCTTAGATATAAAATTGTCGATTACTTTGAAAATTTCATTTGTAACTGCTCTATCATTAAGAGATTCACAGAATAAATACTCAATTGTTTATCTTCTTTGAAACATATGTAAACTAATAAACTAAATTAATGAGATATTATCTTTTATGGGAACTTATTTTTATTTCCTATTAAATACAATATCCATTTCTAATCCTTTTTTTAAAAATATCATTTATGACAAATTTTGGTATGTCTATAGCTAAAAGAATATTTGTAGAAATAAAAATGGATTTTTTTGCTAAAGTATATGAGTGGCTACAGACCTTAACCAAAGCTCAGATTGCATAAAATTATGAGTGTTGGAGAAAAACCTGAAATGGGATGTTGGGGTATTTAATTTTTGAATTTAATAGTTAAAAATACTTTCTTTGCATAACATCTATTTTCTCTTGCGTAGCATCACTGGTACGCGTACCACGGTTGAGAATTGCTGGTATAGATATTCAAGTATATATATATATATATATTTAACTGTGCAACCCTCTCTTTCCTAGTTCAAGGTTTCCTTTCAGCTTTTCTGTGATGTTTAATTGTTTATTTAGATGTGGGCTAATAGATGGCGTTAGTTGTCCACATTTCTGCCAAATATACAAGAATACATAATGTAGCATTTTGCGTGCTTTTCTTCCAGTGTCAAAGATGTCTGGCAGGAAGCATTTCGCGAGTGATATAACCTATATTCCTGACTATATTCTCAACACTGATAGTAGTTTTGACTCTGATTTCAAGTATATTGCAGATAGTTAATAGCGAAACTGATGAGAATTTCTCGGATTCCTCTGCAGATAGTGATGAATCTGAAAATTCAGTTTCTATTGAAAACGTTCGACAGTGGTGCAAAATTTATACGCAAAATATTACACTATGCAAATATTTTCGTTAGTATATATGTTTCACCTTTGTATTTTATAAAATAAGTCATAATTTAACTAATATTAATTTTCAAAATTTTCCTTTTATATCATTATTCTTCAATTTTTGTATTCTGACAACCTTTTTCTATGATCTAATTCTGTATTGAAAAAGAAAAAAAAAAAAAAAAAAAACTCTTTTACAAAAAAAATTTCGTATATTTTAACTCTAAAATATATGTAGATTTGAAACATGTAATAAAAAAATACACAATTTTTTAACCTATTTTGATAAAAAAAAAAAGTACACAGTGAGAGGGTTAACCACTGATGAGATTGATTTCAATAGCAATAAGTTCAGTTTCTTCTAAATGTCAAATACACAACTAGGGCATATCAACCAGGGTTCCAGTAAAAGGTGCATTTTAAAATCAATACATGTGTAACAGATTTTTTTTTTTTTTTTTTTTTTTTTGTGTGTGTGTGTGTTGATGAAACAATATTTCCTGTAATCTACCTGCAAACCTTCAAATTAAATAAATACAAATTTATTGATGCAATTATTTATCTCTAATGTTTGTCCTCTTCTGATAGTTTTCTATGAATGTCCATCTTAGTATACAGAGCACGAGATTAAAATACTAAGCATACTTATTTATATTAGTCAAATAACATTTATTTAACATTCAGTAAGGCAATTCTTGCAAGATAACTAAAAGAATTTAACAAACTTTTTCAGTTCTCTTTATGTATATGTTAGCAGCATCATTCTCATATTTTAATATAAGTGATTACATTCACCCAATAGTAAAATCCATTTTAAAATTTCGCTACCCTAATTAGATTCTATTTGTTTTCTAATGTGCATGAAATATATGAAATATATTTTCATACCTTTTTCATGGTCTTGACTAGCAAAATTTTATTGTTAAATTGAATTTTAGTAAGGATTTCTGTACTTCAATGTAATATTTTTGATTTATTTATAGCCATTAAGAATATTTTGAACAAGTCTAGTTGTTTTGTAAAAACAAAGTTGTAAGTTAATCATACAAGCTCTTAATTTATAAAAAATAACATAATGTAGTAGAATAACAACATAAAAATGTTCTTGTAAACAAAGATCATATTCAAAAGATTTAAATGATGATATAATGAAATGAAGATATTAACTTACAATTGCTTTATTATATTCCTTCTGTTCATCTCTTCGGTCATAGTAACTAAATAAGAGGGAAAAATTTATGCAATTATTTGTCTCCATTTTTATTCTTTGTTTATCTACTTGAATAAAGAGTATTTAAGTATTAATACATACAACCAACCACCTTAGTAGAAATAGGCAGATTTTCAGAATGCTCAAAACTATAGCAACTATGTTCACAACAACTCTTGTTTGAGCAACTATATGACTATTTTTGTATGCATTCTTTCTGTTATATTTGAATGTTTTTTTACAGAAAAATAAAATTACATATTTTGCTTTAAACTCAAGTTTAAAATATGCACTGTGAAATTTACATACACTGGAAGAAACTGCAGCAAAATTTTTGCAAGAATAAAATATTTTGTTACAAAATCGCTTAAAGGGAGTAATTGCCATTTTTAATATGATCTCCAAGAAATTTCAACTAAAATAAAATAAGTACTAACCATTTGTAAGTTTACTGATTGATTTTCAGGATAAATACTCAATTAAAACATATAATATGTATGCAATAAATGACTTTTTTAAAATTTTCGGTCATCATTTTTTTTTTCTTCTGTAAAAAATTACCACACTGCACGAAGGCGGTTGTACTAAATATCAAACAAAGACGTAAGTTTTAACAATAAAAAGCATCTATCTTTACAATTATACAAAAGTTGTGCTCTGAATGCATTACTCTCATGAGAAATGTCCTATGTATTTGAAAAGTGATGCAAGTAATATTACAGAGCTACTATATCCTTGTGACATTGATGAGAGGGGAGAATCCTGAAAAAAAGACATATATAAAAACAAAGATAATTTTTCTTATATATATCTCAGGCTATATTAAGATACTTTTATAGCCATTTAATAGGTAGATTCATAAATTTACAGGTACATTTCATATATTTAATAGATAGATTTGTAAACTTTTTGTATTTATTTTTTGCAGGTTACATTTATTATTTTTTAAGCATTTTATAATTAAGCCATGTTGATGTGTTTCTACTATTATATACTTTTTTAAAAAAGGGGTAGCATTTACAAATTTTTACAGCCAAACTGAAACAACTTCCTCCACAGAAATTTACTGCTTAGTCTTAGAAGGAGGAAAAAAACTCAATTTTTATGAGAAATTCTTCCTTCTAATTGCTTGCTTATGTATCTCAGTTTCTATGAGGCATTAAATCAGGAATATTTTTGTTTGTGATAAAAGTTAGCATTCCATATTTAAACCCAATATGTTTGCCTTTCTATTTCTTATACATTTTCAAAATACTGAAATCTAATGCTTAGTTATTCACTTAATTTACACTTCACCTTGTTATGGCTTATTTCGTATGGTACACAGTTTGGAAATAAAAGTAAAGAATAATTCTTAATAGCACATGCATGACTATCAAACAGAAGATAATACAATTTTTATTTACCACATATTTAACTTTAAAAACTTATTAACACTATAAAGTTTCTTTCATTCAGACACATTTCTTTTTGAATAAAACAGATTTAAATCTTAGAAGGAAATGTTTTTATGTTATTCAAGTGCATAAATATTACTTGAAAAAGGTCGTAATTTTGTAAATTGGCTATAGCTTGTTTTATTCTTCATTTAATTCATGGACTCATCTCTCTCTCTTCTTGCTTACGCTTCCATGCTGTTCAGACGCTGCTGCTTTTATCGCCATAGTATCAAAATTGTAAATGTTTTTTAACCCCTTACTCGTCGCAAAATTTATTCAAAAATCATCAATTTTTATTAATGTTTTTTAATGCTTATGAAATTTAAAATAAATTCATATAAAAACATTATATTTTCGTTAGATTTAACAGTTTTTTTAAATATGTAAAATTTTTTAACTTACCTTGTTTTACTTTATATTTGGCTTTCCTCTTACATCCAATCTGGGAGAAAAGCTTTAATACAGGGGCTTAAGATTACATGTAAATTTTGGAGAGTGAAAAATCACATTCATTTAAATAACGCACACTATTATCTGCAAATGGTGAGGCTTTTATTCAACATCAATAATAGCTGTAATATTTTTTCAAAAATTAACAATTTTTCTGGATAAGGTAAAGTTTGAAACATGGTTTGCACAATTCAACATTGCAATCTTTACAACACCTCGTTTCTCTCCTAATTTGTTTTCCATTTGCATTCCTCTTTGATGAACACACTTTACATTCTCTGGAAAGGCTTTTTTTTTTTTTTTTTTTTCTTTCTGTAAGTGATATAGGTTTAAAAAAGTGTCGTTCAAATAAACGATTTGATGGCGTTTCACTCGATGGACGACCTCGTCTTGAAAAACTGATAAAGGTATGGTATTTGTCAATTATTTCATCGATTAAATCCAGTCTAAACTTTAGATGCAACTTTTTTATAAACCTGAAAAGCGTTGACAACTACTTGGTCTAAAAGGTTAAAAAATATTTTTTATATTTTTCCCCACCGTTTCTTGCTACTTGATAACTAGAAAGATACTGATTTACAAAATCGACACCTCCCTTGTTTTATTGTAGTCAATTACTACCTTTGGTTTTGTTTTCAGTTTTTACTTTGGGTCATTACTTCGACAGTTTCAGAATCATGAAAAGATGATAACATTGTTACTTCCTTTTCGTCCTTCCATTTGAGAGCGAGGATTTTGCCGCGTCTAAATGATATCACTTCGTCAGTTTTTAATTTTTTATTTTTCAATGCTAAAGGTAAATCTTTTTTGTTTTGTCTAACAGTTCCAAACACATCTGTTCGATAAGTCAAAAGGATATCACATAATTCTGGTGAAGTATAATAATTAGCTAAGGTGATGCAGTAACCTTGCTTCAATAATGGCATCAACAACTTGTGAAGGTACCGAGAGATCGGAATTTAGGATGAAACAAAGTACCTTTTTTGGTATATATGATAAATGTCTATATATAAAAAGAAATAGATTCGAATAGCATGTATGTTTTGATACCAAATTTTGCTTTTTCAAGGGTATGTATTGGTGCCAGGATAAACGTCCTTTGTACAACATGAGCATTTCATCTATGGTAATATCTCTTTCTGGAGTAATTGTTTTTACTTCCTTGTACGAAATAAAAAGGAAGTATTGTAATCGCAAAAAGTTTCAGGCAGCATATTTCACCGAAAATATCCATTTTGACCGCTATCAAATGCAATTTAACGATGTTTCTGCGGGATATTTGTAAGTAAGGAACAAGAATAAAGGACTCTTTTTCCTCCAAAAAAATTATAAAACTGCTTTAAAAATGTTAATTCTAAAAGAGAATGTTTTCGTGGCGTCTGTACGATATGTATGTATGTACGTTTCGCATAACTCAAAAACGACCAGTCTCAGAACGTTGAAATTTTGTATATGGGACTGGCTATAACATGTAGATGTGCACCTCGTATTTTGGTTGCAATCGGCCGCACCAAACGTATATAAATATATTTATATATATATCCACTCTGTTACCTGGCTCAGTGATCTCAGTTTCTTTACTCTTATATGTTTGTAAATTGTACATTTTTTGCTTTAAAAATGATTGAATTATGTTGTTTTTATCTTCCAGTTACGGATTTTATGCCTTTAGTAAATCTGTGTGCAATATTTTTAGAATTATCAGCAATTTTAAAGTTGTTTAATTGCCGCTAAGCCTGTTTTAATGGCGGCCATTGATGTTTACATTTGAAACGGGAGACTAGTGGATTTGTTTGCCAATCTAGAGAAACTTAGCTTCGCAACAACAAAGATAACGCATTCATTTATTATTGCCAATTAAATCATGCTTAATTCTTTCTGGAATTTTTTCGAGGAAATAAGTGTTTGAGATTTACTTCGTAATTTTTAATATAGATATTTTGAGTTTATTTTTGCCTTCTCGCGAAGTGAGAACTGAATTAATTAAATGAGAAATACTCAATCGTCTGTGAAAAACTGTTTCTTTTTTGTTTTGTTTGCTTTATTTCTTTTATACATCATTCTAGATTTATTATAGTATTTGAATAGAACATGTGGCAACGATTAGATAATTCCATTCTTTAAATGATGTAAATTTTGTGCATTATGAGTTATAATATGAACAAAATATATACATTAACTGTTATATAATTATTGGATTATATAACAGTTAACTTAGTTTTCGTTACATAATTATTATATAAGTTAACTGTTATATAATTATTAATACTGTTAAGTGAATCTAGCGCCAGAGTGTCGCTATGGTAAACAAATACTAGAGTGAATTTTAAAGAATGCATTTATTCTATTGTGGTTTATGCGCTGTCGGCGAAGTAGATTTAATTCAATCCAATAAGTTTAAATGAAATGCAAGAAAAAATGCGTGTAATTTAATATTCCAATACAAGGAAGTCATGTGGTGTACACATCAGATTTTTTCATATACTTTATTCAGATGCTCACAGATAGGCCAAATTTTGTGGAGTTTCAGGTTAGGATGATTTTCTGGATCATAAGAATCATTGTTCACAAAATGCAAGCATTTTTTTTTTTTTTTTTATTTCACAGTACCGATTATATAACATTATCTTACGGAAAAAGGGAGTTTCTATTAATATTTTCTTAGTCCAATACATGCTTTCTTAGACTTTTTTAACAATACTTTGTAAAACTAAAAGTGCAAGGAACAAATGGATTTCATGTGCTGATTACGGTCTTCCATTCTCTTCTACCTTTCAGTTTCCTTTTCCCAACAACATTACCTGGTTGCTCAGCATAACAATTAGTCTCTTTTACAATTACATCAATTATTTCATCATTTATAAAATGTTCATAATATTGTAAAACGCCTGCACTGGCTTGAAATGAAATATTCACTTCAGGCAACAATTTGAACTGAAAACAACGTAGAGGACAAATATCCCGGACATCTTAGATAATTTGGTTCCATTGGCACCCTGGTAAAAGTTGTGTGGGATCATCCCTATTTCAGAATCAAAAGCATCTGGGAAAAAAAAAAAAAAAAAAAAGAAAAAGAAAAAGAAAAGCTGCCTTCTGAATCACTTCCCAATTCTTCAAGACTTAAATCCTCTTTTTCACTTGAACTATTCATTTTACAAACATTAAACACGAAAAAGCTATGAGCACTGAAACTGCATCCTCTCAAAATATGTTACGGAAATCACAGATGTAAGTTGATTAGATAACAGTAGTATGTAGATTCAGAATACGGAAAATATATTCTGAATCTACATACTACTGTTATCTAATCAACTTACATCTGTGATCTGCCATCTGTGTAAATAGAATTGATACAGGCGAGACAAAATTTATTCGTATTGGTTGCCCATACGAGACACGGGCACGACGAGTAAGGAGTTAATACGCACGAGAAGAGTGCAAAGTGATTATGGCCACAAGTGAATTAAAATAAATTAGGGAATGTAATTCGGCTCGACTGTTTATTCTTCATCAAAATGGATGGACATTCTAAGCATTCAAGCTATCAGTATTCCTGCACATCTACATATCAATGTTCTTACAGTCAATGCTTCCAAAACTCTGCTAATATTACATTTTATATATTCAGTATTTTATAAATTTTTACTCTTTTTAGAACCTGCTGCTCATAAAAAGAACACCTGCACAAATTCTGTTATTAAAAACTAATACACCCACCTTTTACTTGATCTTGAGCTGCTTCTACATCTGTTTCTTGACCTGCTACTGTAACTATGCCCAGAGCTCCTACTTCTAGAACGAGAATGTTTTCTTCGACTTTCATGCTGATGCCTAGAACGAGATCTATAATGTCTAGAACTTCTCCTGCGGCTCCTATTTCTGTGCCGAGATGAACTACTGCCACTATGAGAAATACTTCTAGATCTGCTTCGGTTTGAACGTGAATGACTATACTTTAAGTGAAGATAACGTTGTCTTTCATCAGCTCGTATCTCCCGGCCAAACTGATCACAGAATGTGTCAGTTTTTGGATCATACCTAACAATCCTAAAAAATAATTTAAGACATTTTAAATCTTTTGAATAGGATATAAAAAAACGGCAAATTAAAAAAGTATGAAATATTAAAAAAATAGGAAAAAATCTAAAATTGCTTCAGCATATAAGGAAAATAATGCATAAAACCCACAAAAACAAATAAAACATATATGTTGAAGAAGATATATGTATCTGTCATACTTTGAATTAAATCTTAATTATATGACCTTGGTACTGATCAAAACCATTTTAATCCACAAAGTTAATTTATACTACTACAAACTTACTTTCATGAGAGTGACAATTAAAAAAAAAAAGCCAAATCATGAAATTCAACAAAATGTCTTTTATAACATTATGTATAGTTTTTCTGAAGGGACAAATAAACTGTTTCAGATCAATTTCAGCCAAATCAACACACTAGAAACATTTATGATATAGAATCTCCTGCTGTGAAAGGAGTCATTATTTTATTGCATTTTAACACTTTAAGTATTAACGGTAACATAAAAACTATATCAGTATTCTAGTAAACACACTGATTTATTTTATTTTAGGTTCTTGAAATGAAAATGTGTTTATTTAATGTTAACTATTGCATAAAAGCAACGTAACTATTTTGCACCTTTAAGTATGTTAAAGTGTAATGACTTAAAAAAAATACTGAAATAATTTTTTCAATGATGATAATAATAATAGTAATGGGAAAACAATTAAACCAGAGTTCTCAACAAGGGAGGAATTTCAAGGTTTTGGTGAGAATGCAGCTAGCCTTTTATCTGGCTGCTAAGTATTTAGTTTTAGTTTATGATATAAGAAACTAGTTTTATTTAAATTCGGTATTTATCAACATTTTCTATACTCTTTGTTGTTTAATTTATAAAATACCTTAACCAATAACGTAAATCTAAATAAATTTATATGTATTTTTTTAACTTTGAAAAGGAGAATGTTCTAGCAATGGTGAAAGGGGTACATGGAGCAAAACATGTTGAGAACAACTGTATTAAAGCATTTACTTTTTTTTTTTTTAGTTTACTTTTCTTAATCATTTCTTTTAAATCATCTCTAAAATCCCTGCAAATAAAACGCTACAATCAAAACTTTAGTACATTTCAGTAATAATACATTATTTTTAACGAGGTAAAATTTTCTGAATAAAATGTGCATAATAAATGTTGAATTAAATTTTTTGTGACAATGAGAATGATCAACACATAAATATCAAACTGAATAAAAAGCAAAACAAGATATATTTTCAAGACCGACAGCAAATTCTAGAAATACAACATTCATCAGTTTATTTGGTATCAGAAAATTCATTTGGCTTCCCGGCATTTTTATATGTATGATAAAATTGATTATTATCATTTATAAATTTCAGTTCATTTCTTCAATGAATTAATTTTATAAAAAAGCAACCACACATTAAATGTCTACATTACAACTGATACTTCAGGAAAGGAAGAGCATAATGTGTTCAAAAGCATACTGCATTGAAGGACTCAAAACAAAATGTGAAATGTTTCCTACAAACATATTCTTCTAAAATAAATTTGAAGATTAGATTCCAATACTCGATTTTTCAACCCCGAAATTAAAAATAATTATCCTTAGCTTGGTGTTGTGAGTAATCAGAAGCAAAGTGAAAGCTGAGCAAGAATCTCCTTCTTCCAGTGTGTTATGAAGGACTTTTCAAGGTGTCTGATTTAAGCTACCAACCAAGAGAATAATCTAGTTGTTTTAACAAAATCTGGGAAATATTCCATTTGATGGTGTATTGCAGAAATTTGTTTTCAAGTTTGACAGCAGTGTTAGATTTTTGACTGCTGAAGGTGTTTTCATAACACAATATGTATTGTTGCTCATTTACACTATATGCCAAGCAATGCATTTCATTGACCGCTGTAAAAAAAAGGTGCAGGGATTTGAGGAAGGATATCATCTGCAAGGATAAAACTATTGCATCATATAGGGTTGCATAATTTAATATTTTAGTTTAAGAAGACCAACAGTATAGTTTGATAATCTGGTCTCAAAAATAAGCATTAGTTATTACACACAAGTATCAGTGGCATTGCCAGAACTTCTGTTGCCCAAGGCAGTCTTGCTGCCTTTCCTATTGCCCAAGGCAGAATTTGCTGCCTTTCTTGATATGCAAGCAAATATCAAAATGACATGTTGAGAAATAAATTCAAACTTCACATTTATTTTCAGAGAAAAACTTTTAATTCCAACATTTTAAAATTATATTTGGTTGTTTTTTTGTTTGCAGAATTGTCAACAACATTATAGAGATCTATTTGACTGCTTCAGCTGCTGTTATGTAAACAGTAAGGAAAGATTTCTTAAATACGAAATGCACATTTACACTTCTCAGATTTTTTTAATTTAAAAAACGCACCACATGACTAGCACCATTTACAGCAACTACAGAAATGTTCACAATAGTATTACAATATTTGAAACTTTGTTGTGGAGAATGTATTTAAAAAAAAAAAAAAAAAAAAAAAAAAACTGCAAAAATTCAAAACAAAGGACTGCCTTTCCATCTTCCTATTTTGATTTTTATAGCAATAATAGAAATAAAACTCTCAAATGCTTCTTTCTTACTGTGGACTTCTTCCTTATAGTCTTCACAATGATAGTTTAGTTGATATTTATAACTTGCTTTCAAAAATTTTGGTAAAGTAAAAAAGGCATAACAAATACATGCAGCAGTTGATTGGTTTGGTTTGGTTTATTTAATTACGGCAAAGCACACTAGGGCTATCTGCCTAAGGGTAGGAATGCCTTTCGTGGAGGACTTTCTAAGGGAAACTGGCTCGTATACATGTTACACACGGGGAAAACCACGAAAACGCCCATGCAGCCAGCCCGTTCGCAGGATTCGAACCTCGGACCAAACTACCAGTGTTCAGCGACTTTACCGCTCGGCCGCTGGTGGGCCCATGCAGCAGTTGAAATTATTAGGTTGTTGTTGCTGTTGCCAATGCTCACTTGTCTGACCTATAGTCAGCCCAAGCCCGTGAATTTCCTCGTGGCAAGGAGCGCAAGTTTATGCCTGTTGTTGGTAACTTCAGCATCTTACAGGTGGCAGTACGATTTCACTGTTCTGCCTCCAATTTTGATGCGGAGCACCATGGGGTATAGGTCTCCTACCCCTCTTCCCCTACCATCAACCTCTTAAGAGGGCTTTTGGCTTGCTGCATATTTAGAATGCCCCAATGCTGCTCGGTCACTATCACATTTACAAGCCTTCATGCCTTCTCCGGGATTCACACCCAGCCCTTCGGCACGGCAGTTAGCGACGGTAACCACTACGCCCGTTGGGCGGTGAAATCATAAGGCGATTTCCTTGAATACTTTATCTAGAGGAAAAACTCTTTTTCTTCTTAATTTAATTCCACATGGCAATTTAGAATCTAATTATTCTTCATCTGCCTCAACTATCCATCTGACTAACGACTATAAAATTAAGATAAAATTGCACTTTGGCAGCTGAAGCTGATGGTTTGGTAAAACCATCGAAAATAGTCCTATGGAAATTTGCAAATATGACACTGACTTTTGCTGTTTTTCTAAATTAACACCATAAAATGTTTCATGCAAAATATGTAGTCCCTAAAAATATGCTGACCAGGGTGGACCACCCTCCCTTTACCTATGCAACTGACAAGTATTCATTAATAAATGAAATATTAGCTGTGCTGCATATAATAGATCAACTTGTTTATATAAAAAAACTTTTATGGGTATGGAATCATTATGCTCAGTAAAATAAATATTTAATGCCAGATGTACTTATTTCTGAGAAACAAATTTGTATTCCTTTTAAACCCACCCCCCCTTTTTTTTTCATTTCTTTTAACTCACTCTTAATTATATACACTAACTATCTTATACCTTTTATATACAAAGTGATATTACAAAAAATTTGATAGCTATTTTAAAATACTTATAACCATTAACCATGCTACGAACTCCAAAATTTATGAAGTATCTTATAATAAAAGTTGAAATATAATAACATGGAAAAACATCTATGTACATAAAAAGACTGCTGATGGATCCGAGGGGGAAAATTAGCAGTATCTCATATCATGAAAAAACAGAAAAACACAAAATCAAAATGCTATTTATTAAGAAGCCATTTGTATATGCCAAACAGAATTAAATTTTTATGTTTAATAAATTTATCATTTCATTTTAATCTCTTTGATAACTTTCTGACATAAAACATACCATTATTATATAATCATTATTTTTAGCTAGAACAAAAAATATTTTAATTGGATTCCTTGAATTAAATTTAATGGCAAGACAGGGTTCGTACACATTTCCTTACATGAAAATTAAGGACTTTTAAGGACCATCAAAGAAAAAATTAAGGACCTATCAGCAAACAAAAAAAAAAAATGAATAGAATAAAGCAATTATCCTACAACCGACTTCATGCTTGTAATTTCACTTTAAGAAACTAACAGAAGTGTGTGTTATGCACTATTATTAAATTCAATTTAATACTTACCATAAAACAATTTTGAAAATTAAACTAACTCCCTACAAGTTATGAAGTAGATAACATTAAATTAGGAACATAATTTCTTGAAAAACATGTATAAGTGTATTTTACACTAATAACAGTCACTATTTTAGAGATTTACATGATTATTATTTAACTTATTCAGGGTTCGTACACATTTCCTTACATGAAAATTAAGGACTTTTAAGGACCACCAAAGAAAAAATTAAGGACCTATCAGAAAAAAAAAAAAAAAAAAAAAAAAAAAAAAAAAAAAAAACGAATAGAATAAAGCAACTATCCATTTAAGAAACTAACAGAAGTGTGTATTATGCACTTTTATTAAATTCATTAAATTCAATTTAATACTTAACATAAAACAATTCTGAAAATTTAACTCCCTACAAGTTATGAAGTAGATAACATTAAATTAAGAACATAATTTCTTGAAAAACTTGTATAAATGTATTTCACACTAATAACAG